CCGGCAGGAACACGCTCGTCATTTTTCATTTCTATCTACTGTACCAGGACGACTACAAGACAAAATTGAGTGTCGGGTGATGTACTCGACGGAAGAAACCTCTATTTATAGAGCGTGCATGTGCCAAACTTCACTGCCAGCAAACCAAAAACAACCATACGGCCCGCACATGAAATAGCGGCGCCGTACACGGGGAAGAATCTTCGACTTTCAGGGGGGCTTCGGTACCCTTCGACCCACGTCTGTCCCGCCCCCACCATCCCAACTGCAACAAAACCGAAAAGACGAGACCCAAACGAAATCGACACCCCAGGTTTTCAACAGGACACACAGATTGAAAACGAAGACACCTGATATTGGAGTCGTAGTCTGGGTTTTCTTCGCCATCGGGTAGCAGTCGCTCCGGAGCGTTGGGGTCGGAGCAGTGAAGGAAGCGGCAGTACAAGAGCTCGAGCACGTCGCGCGGCATGAACTTCTGGACCAGCGGGTTGTTGTCGTGGGCGGACCGGCTTCAGTGCTTTCGCATCCGGACTTTCTTCGTGAGGCCCATGGTGATGACAATGCCGATGATGCCGTCGATGTGCTGCTTCTCGAACATGCCGTAGGTGTTGCGCTCCTCGGACCGCTCCCCGAGCGTGACGCGACCGAGCGTGGCGGACTTCTTCATCTGGTGTGGCTTCCGCTTGTCCTCTTCACCGGGCGGCGGCGCCGTCGTGCAGTGCTTGACGTAGGCGTTCGTCTGCCCACAAAATAACGGAGGAGCGGGGGCGGGGTGGGGAGAGACACGGAGGTTAGATTGCGGCCGGTTTCGAGGCAGGTTTCGAGTCAAAGTCATGTGCAAGGCTATTTCAGAATCGTGGCAAAGCTATTGGGCGCACGGCAGCAGGGGGGCAGCGACTTTGTGCGGGGTGGATGGGTTACGAGGAGAGGGCGGGCGGTAGGTCTCGGGTTGTTTATGCACCTTCATCGTACATATTCGGTTTCACCATTGCAAGCACTGGAAATTCCTGTTTCAATACCGCACCACGGGACACATGAAAGCAAAGCGGTGCGTGTCG